ATGTTAAAATTGCAATGAAAAATACATTAAAATTACATAGTAAAATCATATAAAATATATAATCATTAATTACTTATTTAAATAATATTATGGACATAAATATAATATTTACAAAATATATCATTTTTCTGAATTAGAATTTATAATTACATATATCTCTAAATAATTTAGAATAATAATAATAATAATTTAACACAATTATTGTGTTCATGAAAATTATATTGGCTGTTACCTAAAATATGTTTATATAATGAAAAAGTACGTTTAACATCTACACTTTTATCGGTACATATTCAAAATAATTTAAAAAATGTTGTGTCATATCTAAATTAACATTTTGATTTCCTGCCATAACTTCAGAGTAAGTTTTAATAGTTTAATATTTTTCATTTTTTCTCAGACATATTTTAATTTATCTTTAACTATTTTCTATTGGGATAGGGAATATTTATCAAAATATTTTCAATTTCACTAAATATGTTTAAACTATCAAATAATTGGCTATTTGATTCTTCTAAACTTGTGGGTTTTGAGGATACCTTAGATGAATTTAATTTGAAAAATGCTAAACTACATTTAACTATACGTAAACATTTTCTTCGCAGTTATATTTTTATTGTAAAATAACTTTAGAAATAATAAATTGTATATTTTATCACGTAAAGTATACAATAATTGTAATAATTGCAAATACTGCAATATCATTGAAAATTGCTAAAAATTGTTTTATTAAATTAAATAGGAAAACTGTAATTAATCCAATTCGTATACATATTTGAATAGATTTGATTTACTCAGTATCAATAAAAAAGTGCAATATCTATTAAATCTGGTCTATACGTATAACAATATAGCAATAGAGAGGTCGGATTGATAATTTCGTGTATCACTGTACTGGATCGTTGCAGAAATCTGGTAGTATTTAATTTTCATATTGTAATATTCCAATGGTTATGGCCAATATGATGATTATATTTTTTATGAAGCTGTTCAAAAATGACATTTGTAAATATTCCAACCGTATATATACCAAAAAATAACACAAACAACTGTAGAATAACAATTCATTCCCGTAATGTATTAATAACATAATTGAATTTATCATTATAAATTCCGTGTCGACCAACGCTAGAAAAATGTTATCCAAAATCGCACGACGATTAGTAAAGGTGTAATTAATACGTCTATTGTAATTGTCCCGTGATCGCTGATTCATTGCGCTTTAATCCTGAAAATCGCAACGTGTCCGGTCGTTATTTATCACCAAATGGCTGGTCGAACAGAAAGATTTATATTGTACGAGTACACCGTTTACAAATGGACTACTCGAGAGCGCGCTTCGGCAGATTGTATGAAATCAAGAAATCAATGCGATCCCGTGAAATTATTAATCGAAATGTAAAACTTTGAAAGTTCCATTTCGAAAACCATACTCAAATCTGCGACGCTTTTGTTATGGAATTAACGTACGACACGTTCACAAATATTTACAAGTCTATTTACTTCTTGTTGTAAGATTAAGATGATTAAGAATTAAATTATGCCAAGAAAAAACCAGAAAACGTGCGCGAACAGAGGAAAAACGTAAGATTTCTTGTTTAATTCACACATGAACGACACTATTTCACATTAAATACATTTCGTTTATGTTTTATACACAATTAGGTAAGGTTAGAACAGTAGGTTGAAATGCAAAATAGTGACTTTTTAACAAAAGTACGTACGCAGACGATTTGATTACAAAAAGGGAAAAGTCAATAAAATCGATAAAATACAATTTAAAAAATCCTAAGACAAAGATTCGTATCGTGGTTTGATTCCTATGTTCGTTAACATATTTTCACAATATTTTACCATTTATATCTGGTGCATTAGTCATAGATCGTGTTTTTCTATTGCTTAAATTTAAAGTACATTGTTTTGGTTTTTTTCTAATTTTCACGTTTTTTATACTTCCCATAGTATTTATGTTCCAAAATTATATGCGTCTGGACGCTTATTATACATCCCCGTGTTTAACACATTTCTAGTTTCGCTCGTATTTCAACGGAAGCGTGGACAGTAGAATATCAAAGTTTATTACGTTATCTCGTGTCATCGTGAAAGTATCATACTGTGTACGTATATCGATTTTCAACGAGCATCGTTCAACCAATTTTCGACTAAAAGAAATGTAGTTGTTTGCATTTAATCGTGATATTTATTTACATTCTTTTTTTCGCTCTAGTCCACATTAATTTTACCTTAACTATTGTAAGATAACTGAAATATGACCCTTTTAAAATATATTTTGTGATAAGTTTCTATTCTATATAAGGTTTTCAGAAGAAACTTTGAGCTTCTTTAGTTGCCAAAAAAATTGCAAAACGAATATAAATACACATTAAACGACCAATAACTCAATCTCTTCACTTAGAGTTTAAAATGTACACACAGACAAGATAAAGGAAAAGTCTCCGACAACACATAAATAAAGTTGGTCTTTTTGAATAAACAAAAACATAATACTGTTCTACTACTACTATTTGCTACTGAAAGAATGAATTTAACCACACGGTTTTAACTATAGATATCCCAAAACAGTCGTTGACATCATATTTTATTGTATAATTAAATACGATACGTTGTACCTAAGTATGATTAGAAATAATAAATTTATGTGTGATTAATTTTGATTAGTCATCACGAAAATAAAATATTTAAACAATCATTTTGGTATAGTCAATACATAATATTGTCATAAAGTAGATTTCGGTAGAATTATAACTGAAAAATTAAATTGAATTTCTTATTTGACAGAAAAATATTACGTTCTCATTTCGCTTTCGCTACGATTTCGCTTGAAAAGAAACGAGAAAATAAGTCAGTTCTCATATATTGTTAAATATTGTTATTGTAATTTTTGTTGATTTTTCCGGAAAAATCATGAGTCCCACTAAACAGGTTCATGTGGGTGGCCCGATATTAGAAATAAACGATCAAATACATAGTAATATGACAGCGAATATTTCACATTAAAATTTTCTAATAACTTTTATTATTATTATTATTATTATTATTATTAATCTTTTTTTTATTAAAAAATGTATTAAATCCAATCTGGGAATTTTTTTTCAATATATAATTTTAATATAAAATATTTTGTTCAAGTCGTGATAGCACCATGACGTTAACATTTATTTAGTATTATTTCATCACGGTTTGAAAAAGGTAGTTCTTATTATTATTCTATAGCAATTAAATTTTCTTTTAAATCATGTCGAATAAATTTAAATTTTGCTATTAAAATTTCGTAATGTATTATTTTCCTCTGTATACCTACCACGAAAAATCGCTAAGAGATTTGTTATCCGGTAAATTACTCTCATTTCAATATAATACTTATCAAAGTTAAAGTATGCAATATTTTTAGTTTAGTCGGTAAGAATTATAACGGTAAACAATCTTTTTAGAAAAAAAAATCGAGGAAGAATCTACAAAAAAATGGCATAAATAAAACTTATATTTAAAATGATAATAAAAAAAAAAAAATAATGGCGAGCTTTTTTCAATCTCTATAATCCCCACGTAACTATGCCATTGGGTCTAGTTAAACAAAGGTTCCATACGATACACAAATAGTGAATGTATAATTTATTATAACCCCATACAAACCGTATGAATTTAAATTATCAATTTGTTTTAATCATTTGGCTTGTAAAAGCTTTAAAAATCCTTTCGCAAAATGTATGCTATAATGATAACGCAACGCTGAAAAATGACTGAACAATTGTTCGTATATTTTTTTTTTTAAGTTACTTACAGATTATTCGGTAAAACATCCGGATGTCGTTGTTATGGTACATCGTGTTTGTAAAATATTATATTTTTGTACCATTAGCTTTAATGTAACAGAAAATACTATTTTTTATTGTAATTTGCCGTAAACATTTTTGGCGCAAAACAGTAGATACAAAACTAAACATTTAATGCCCTGTAAAAATCAACAGACTTCAATCGTAACACAAATACAGAAATAGACGTAATCGATTAGTACTTGTCATACATGACCTATAGGTGTGTACTGTTTACGAAAACGATCCACCAAACGTTTATTTTTGTGTATTGATCGGCTTAGATTATTTATATTATCGATAACCAAACAATATAACCATTTATTTTTAATGGTTACAAATTATCAATCACCTAAAATCAAATGTTATTACTAAAAATATAACCAAAACCGCAAAAATGACTTGTCTATAAAATAAAGTAACCTGGTTACATTTGGTTAAATGCGAAAACATGACTTATATGTTTAATAAACGTTATCTTATCAAATTTAATTGATAACGTTTAGACATAATTATTTTATTTTTATAAACGCTTTTTTATTTTTATTTATTTTTTTTTAATATTTTACTTTAATAAATTCATAAATTTAAATATTATATTTAGTATGAACTAACTTAATAAAAAGAGCTTTAGGATTTAATACGGAAAATAAATCTTTAACGAGAAGTTTATGTCATAATCCGTTTAATGAATATGAAAAGTGGTCTATCCATAAACAAAAATGTAAACAAAACGTAATAAAATAATAACAACAATGATATGATAAGTATTTAAATATGATATTGACGTACCTTATAGGTAAGTACAAAAGTTAAAATAGTACAAAAACTGAATTTTTAGTATTTACACTATTTATAAATTAACCGAAAGTTATTTTTACCATAAAATTAAGCGTGTGTTTGCAAAAACTGTATTGTATGTATAATTTATATAATACATTTACATTTACATTTTATAATAATATAAATTATATACATTTATATAATATAATATATCTTACCAAACAACAATTGTGTGTCTACTAATATAAATTTAAATTTAAAAAAATTTATGAAAGTTCATAACAATCACTAATTACTGTGTCACATGAGAAAAATATTTTTTTCTTAATATTTATTCTTATACTATATAATCTAGTAATTTAAACTATTTTATCTATTTACAAGTTACATTATTATTAAATATACCTTTTACAAAGATTTTCTTTTGGTTTCCAACAAGCCAGGTGCATTTGGTATATCAAATAATGTTGGTAAAACATTTGGTTTTAGTTTTTTTACACCATCCAGACGATGTTGTTCGAATTGACCTTCTTCGAAATGGATCTATTGGAATATGCAAAAAATATAAAATAATAAATAAGAACTATGTTCTAAAGAAAACGACAAAAAATATTAACATGACTAAATTGTATAAATACATTATGATTAAGGCTTTTTAAGTTTAATCTAATACTTACTTCACACAATTCAGATGAATTTGTAGGCTGCCATTTGTCACGGTGAAAATTTTGTATCCAAGTTTTTCGTCTTTTAGGGTCTCTTGGAAACTGAAAAAACAAAAACCTTTACAATGTGAATTTGAACAGTTTACCGCTGTACAAACACCAATCTTTGGTGATATATTATTCAAATTATATTCACGATAGGGTTTAAAAACTATACATATATATATCAAACTTAATTAGTTTGTAAATGTAAATAAAATAAAATGTGTTGGTGTGAATCATATAAATTTTTTAGTTTTACTAACGAAAACGTATCTGTAATATCTGTGTTCTGTATGTTTTGATAGTAATAATTGGTAATCATTTGTCACAAAATGGCGGACGATTATACCTGCTTCAATAGTGCCCTAGCGCAACTAGAGCCCAAATATTTGGAGTGCTAAAATTACGTAGTTCACACTAACCCCAAGTATCATATCTCAACTTAATCATTAAATGTACTATAGCAACACACATACACTAATATTTTAATTTATAAATATTAACAAGCATAAATTGTAACATACCTATAAATTTCATTATATTATATTTTATTCAGGTCATACAATAATAATAAATACACAAATTAAAAAAATATTATACAATATCTACACTAGTATTATCTTGCGATAACTAGTGGAATATTTTTCAAGTATTTCTGACGATGTAATAAACTAATAGCCATAAACAATTCATCTTTCTGATAAATACATCAAATAAAACTAAATGAAATAAAAACGCTATTTTTTCACACAATTTTTCAATTACTAATTCTTTAACTAGGGGTGCTAAATTTGAGCTTGGAGGAGCTATAGCACCCCTAAGCACCCCTCAAATTGCGCCTATGGTAATGATATCAATAATTTCCGATTAACAACCAATTACACGTAACGTCACATGAATATTATTCAGAATAATAAAATGAAAGTGTCTGAAAATAATTGATATCACTAATACGTATTGAACAACCTTATAACTATAAGTGAGAATTTCAACTCAATTTAATGATTCAATTGACTTGGTTCATTCCAATGATTTGATTCAGTGAGTCAACTACTAATTCAATAAGTTCTTATCAACTATATGTTTAATTTAATAATAATGAATCACTTATTCAGTGAATTATATAGTTCAATTGACCAAGTCACAAGTCATGAGCTGACAAAATGGTAACATAAGTCGGGAACTGATAAGAACTGAAAGATAATACCATAGATATAAACAATAATATAATGAATTATTGTATATATTATTATTAATATTATTATATATATATAGTTCATATAAATGTATACATATCTGGGTAACATTGAGTTTTTGGGTCAATTGTGGCACACTGATTCAGCTCTTTCAGTTCACCTAAAATAGTCGACTCTTTGAAACAACTCAATCACTTACTACCCATATCTACTTGTAACGGACTTGGTTTCTACTTTTATCACTTATCATATTTTTTAATGTTGATAATGTGATTAACATTTGATACGATAATTATAGTCACATAAAATTATAATTTTACTTACGTCACATTATCAACAGCACAGTACTCTTCTTAACAATGATGACATTAGGTCGATTACACATGTTGAGAATGGTATAATATTGTGACAAAAGTAAAATTGTAATTATATGTAATAGTTTTTGTCGTTTAAAATGTATATCACCTATTATTAGCGTTATAAAATGCGACGAGCGACATAACCTAACCTAATGTGTACACGTGGAAAACATTCGGATCGGTATGTTTGCAGTGCCGTATAATAATTATACGGCACTGCAAACATATAAACGTTAATTATTAACGCCGGTGGCAAATACGTATTATAATTATTCCGATTTTACCGATGCACGTTTGAGTTCAACAGTTGACGGGCAAAAGGAGATTCGTTTATTTACCATTAAACATGTGCGCATATGTAATAATAAACATTTCCGAATACATAATAATTCGGTTTGATGGCAACAACAATGCGTTCAAACGAATGATACGATTGATGTATGAAGCGTGCCATTGATAAACTATTATTATAACGCATATTACACTAACAATCAGTATTCCATTCACACACACACACACACACACACACATACACACACATGCATACGTGCGCACAGACACAGTAAAACGGGGATGACGCACAAAGGATATACATATATTTTGTCCGCGACCCGAACACAAATTTTATAATCATAAACTTCTCAAAGTATATTACAAAACACTTCAATTCGTGGTTCAAAAGTATTTTTCGTACGATTTCGATAATGTTCATTGCTGATACGCTTATGGTACGCGGTACATACAACCCGGGCCGTTCCATGGTGCGTTTTTCCCAATTCGGCTGCTCATATTTCTTATACAATACTCGTATGTTTGTCATTTATTATTTCAACTTTCAGATCATATTTCAAGTATTTCATTTTTACACGAGACTTTATGTGTGAGCGTGTATTGTACAGGTATATATATATATAAGAGTATTGCAAGTGCTGTCTAGAATTTTTTTCCATTATAAATAATGAAATATTAGAAGAAAAAAATACCCCTCGACGATCGTTTAATTCTTGGACAAATCGACGTGTCGCACCTCTCTCGCTTTATATATATATATATATATAATAAATATTATATGTCCCGTCGAAATTCAATACGATAACATATATTGGTTGTAAGAGATATGCCTTACAACGAGAAAGTAGGTAAAGCTTTCCAGGTGCATTCTCACACGAAAACGATATAATCACTTGTCACTAGAGTATCTTAAGAGCGTTTTTATAGCACGCATTTTTCACATTTTACATAATGTACTGTAAATTTTGCACATTTTAACGAACATTTTCAGGTAATCAAAAACGCCAATGAATTACGAAATCTAAAATATAATAAAGACATAGTACTTATAATGAATAGATTTGAATTTATGTGATTTCTATTACACATCTTATCGGTAATCAAAAACTGAAGTCCTATCGTGTACAACGGGTGTAGCGAACGATTGTAAACGTTTTACCTTTTTTATAACATGATTACAAACGAATGTAGATTATCAAAGAATTATTTTTTTTTAGCCGAAAAACGAACGACTGCGAACTTTTTTGTAGGCTACGTTGCCAAGCTTATGATTTTCTAAACATGTAAAAATTCCTGAATTTTACTTTGTTTAAAGATTTAATTAATTTTTTTTTTTTTTTTAATAAAATCCATCCCATATTTATAATACAATTATATTATAATTACGTTACAAACTAAAATAAAATGATACAAAATATGTGTTTAATTAAAAAAACGTTTCTTGGTACAAATATTAATAAAATACTGTATAATCCTGAAACAAAAAATTAAAGAAAATTACAAAATAAAAGTTTTAATACTGCACGTCTATACGAAACGAGTTGGTTTTTCATCAAATTAATAAAAGTTTAGGAGAAATATTATAGTCAAATATTATTAATAGTATTTTTTCTGCATCAAATATGTCTTATCGCCCGACGTAATAGTAGAAAACCATTGTTGATAATTTCATAAGATTTGATTATTTCAAAATAAAACAAAATTCGGACAAATTATATTAAAATCATTAATTTAATATCGGTGAGTTGCGATAATTAAAAAAAAGCACGCCAAAACTGTGCAGTGGTGGTGCCACAATTTATCATATTCTAATAATTTTCTAATTTTATTGTGATACCGCATGCACAACCGTTGCACCGCACTGCTTTGGTTTACACTGAACCTAACACCAAATCTGACGACGCCGCACGAAAAAAGGCAGGTAAAAGCTTTCGCAATTATGTTGAGAGAAAAGGTCCGTTAGCGATCATGTTACCCGTACAACAACCAGTGGTATACGATTGGGAGGGGGAGATTTTAGGATAAATCCCCCTCTTAATACAAGAAAAGAAATCCAATACAGTTTTGAAACGATTAGAATGAAATAAATGCCCATCATGAACACTTCAACGTGTGTATAATATGTTGTTTTTGTCAATTGTGATGGAATCAAAAATGCATTAGTTATTCGTCCGAGGAAGTAAAAAAAACAAATATTGGCATAAAAATTATGTATATAATTCGATTCCCACCACCTAAAAAAAAAAGGAAAGCATGCCACTGACAACAGTACTCTTTTAAAAAAAGAAAGATGTACGGACGGTAAAAAAATATAACTTCTATATCGTAGTTTGTTTTTTCTAGTAAATTATTCGATTTGACAGTTTTAAATTTTCGGCACATCTATATTCATTTTCAAATATTAATCTTCGTAAATGTATTGTGTATACATAACATGTAAATTCATAATATTACTTATTTTTTTTTTTATTTTATTACGTAAAACTATGGGCACTATGGTAAACATCAGGATTATATATTCAGTAAAACAATTGATCGACTATATTATATAAGACTAGTAAACAGAAACAAAGCTGCAGCAATAAAATTACTTTTGGAAATAATAAATTGCATGTATATAAAAAAAATCCATTTTAGGCTTCGACGTATAGAGAATTCATAAAACGAAGTGATTTATTAAATAAAATAAATCCTTTTTCCATTCAATACTCATATCTTTTCTCTTAAAATATAGACTCAATAAAAAATGTTGTCATCATAATATTAATTCAGGACTACAGAAATATTCTTTTTAATCACTATTTATACTAAAATGTAAAATATTAAATTTGATTATTTAATTTAATTAAATTCATATAATACTTATTAGTATTTTAAAAACAACTAGAAAAAAATTCCCAATCAAAAAACTATTATTCTAATTATTTTTCTTCGTGTTTTTACTGTACCTATAATAATTATTAAATAATTTTCTTTGTGAATAATAAATTGTATGATATTGTTAATAATTATTAATACGGTGGAACCTCGCTATCTCGAACTCCGGTACCTCGAAGTTTTTTATGTCAAATTTTTTTATCAACCCCAATCATTCAGTATTTCAGTATTTATGTGTTCAGTTTATTTGGTATATCGAATTTCCATAAGTAAATGACAGAGCTTGTACACGTTGTAATAACTTTGATATTTAATTTAATTATAGTTCAGATAGTGATCAATAACGGCAGTGGCGTAGCCAGGATGTTTTTTAATAGGAGTGGCTAATCACTTTTTTGGATAAGTAAGGTAAAAGAGGATATGAGAACGATATGATAGTGATAATCATGGTAGAAACTAGAAGTATTAGTAATCTGTAATATCTACGCCAAAGGCAAACACCTGTTATTCGTTAATCGTCAAAATTTAATTAATACCAAAGGTTCAAAATACTTAAATAAAAATAGTAGTGTACTAGTTTAGTACGTAGATACATTATACATATAAACACGGTCCATGGGGGGGGCTATAGCTCCCTTAGCCCCTCCCGCTTGACTACGCCACTGAATAACGGCGTTTAAGTTAAACGGACTTATAATGTAAAAATAGATG